ACCATTCTCACAGAAACACCCAGAATAATGCTTAACCAAACCCTTGGAATATTTGACCAAATAATTCTGACCCTGGCCATGGCCCAGATGCTCCCCCCGAGCATTCAAAAGGAAACAACCTTGCCAATATCTTCTAATTTAGATTTATTTATTTGAAAGGCAGAGTTACAGAGAGAGGGGGGGAGAGGTCTTCCACCTGCTGGCTCATTCCCCAAATGGACATGAGGCCAGAGCTGAGTCAGAGAGAAGCCAGGAGCTTCGTCTGGGTCTCCCACATGAGTGTCAGGGGTGCGAGCACTCAGGACATCTCCCACTGCTTTCCCAAGCACATTGGCAGAGCGCTAGACAGGAAGCAGAGCAACCGGGAAACAAACTGGCGCTCTCATGCAATGCCTGCATTGCAATGGCAGCCTAACCCAGTGTGCCACAATGCCAGCCCCAGTATCATGATTTTTAGACTCCGACCCCTGGAACTAAGAAATCAAATTTGTGTGGTTTTCAGCTATCTGATTTGAGGTGCTTGGCTATAGTGTCAGGACGTGATATTCCAAAATATGCTTTCTTAGTATGCTGAGAATCTTTAAGCTGGAGCCAAAGGGGCCTTTTAGGCAAACAAGAGCTCTGTCCTGTCCCCCCACGCATCTTTCTCCCCCGATAAAGACACAAAACTGAGAGAGGTCACTTTGTGGACTACCTCCCCCAAAAGTAGATCAAAACACCCTCATTTGCCATGTGCCCTGCCCTTTACCCAGGGCACCCACAGACCTTGGAGAATCTGAACAAACAGGCCTTGCTGGGTCCCCGCAATTGACCATAGTTAGATCAGAGCCTCTTGTCCAATCAGCTTCCCCGCAACTCTCCACTTCTTTCATCAGACTTTGCATGAAAGCTAGCCCTCTCTCCTGGGTTTTGGTTGGGGGCGGGGGTGGTCTTCCTTTCTGAAGACTCTCCTATCCCATAGAACTTTGGAAAGTGAATCAGTCATGCTCTTCTCTTGGCCATGGCTGCCTGGGGCCGAGCAGGTAGATGGTTAGGAATCTGACAGCAGGTAGCAGTGATAGGATTCCACGTGCAGCAGGGAAGAGTAATCACCCAAACACACGATGGAAACCAAGCTCAGGCCAGCACACCTATGGCCTCACTGGGTTAGCAGACGTAAAGGCAAGTCGGATGACTGCCCAGAGGAGTGACGGCAAAAGCAGCCAGGACAGGGGGTTGGCGAGAGGCAGCACAGGCACATGACCAGTCATGACCCACTTGGGCTCCAAGAGGGAAAACAGAGCTCGCTTCTCACCACCGCCTGCCTCACTGGCATCTCCACTTGGCAATCTTGTATTTCTCGGTGAGTAAAAGTGACCTTTATGAAATATTTACTGAGCATCTGGGAGCTCACACTGTGGATCCACTTGACTGATTCTTTTAGGCTTTTGGATCAGGCAGGAAACCGTGTGTCTTCATCAACTATTATTAAAAAAAAAAGTGCCATAGACTAGGGATCTTATAAATAATGGCATTTATCTCCCACAATTCCAGGGGCAACAGGTGCACTACCAGGCATCAGCTCATTCCTGTTCTGATGAGAGAGGGGCCCTGTTCCAGCGGGCAGGCCACTGACTTCTCACTGGGTCTTCCTGTGGTGGAAGGAGGACCAGAAAGTGCTCTGGGCTGCTATTCACCAAGGCCGTAATCCCAGTCACTCCTAACCAGCCCCACAGAACCTCACCTCTGGCACAAGCATGTTGCAGGATGAAGATTTCCACACAGGAATTTGGAAGGGACTCCAATGCTTCATTGCACCGTTTTTCAGGGGATGTTTTGGGAAGTGTTTCTATCTTTTCTTCTCCCTTCTGCAGAAACTCCTTTTATTCCTTTGTTTTCAGTTTCTGGCTCATCCTCTGTTCTTTCTCTTGGATAGGAAGAGCAAGCATTGGAAAACTAAGCGAGCCTCACCTAACCCTGGGCTGTGGCGACCTTAACCCAGTTGAGCCCCAAGCCAAGGCTTCTCTCTCCGAGTAGATCCTTCATTTGGTACCTCCCCAGATGACGGCGAGGAAAAGGAGATGAGAGGTCAACAACAAACAGTAAAATCCAGGCACTCAGGGGACCACTCCTGCTACCGAGAGCTGGCCAGGTGAAAATCAGACTTTGTGACACTGAAGCTCTCTGCAGAGATAAATAAATCAGGAAAACATCGAGAAGAGTCTTCATCTCTATGGAGAAGTCTTTTTTTTTTTTTCACAAGTTCTCCTTAGAAGAGTGCCAAGAGTGTCAACGTTGGACAAATTAGCTCTCCTAAATTCTATTTATTGTTTTTGAGAAAATGGATGATTAGAATTTAGTGGTCATTTCAATAAAGGCCTATTACTTCTTGAAAAGTGAAATATATATACAGATTTACAGATTCATTCATTTGTTTGAAACAGTGAGAGAGAGAGAGAGAGAGAGAGAGAGAGGGAGAGAGAGATCTTTCACCAGCTGGTTCACTCCCCAAATGACCACAATGGCTAGGGCTGGGCCAGGTGCTTCATTCATCTGGGTCTCTCACGGGGAGTGGCAGGAGCCCAATCACTTGGGCCACCTTCTGCTGCTTTTCCCGGGCAATAGCAGGGAGCTGGAATGGAAGGAGAGCAGCTTGGACATGAACCAGTGCCCACATGGAATGTCAATGTCTCAGGTGGCGGCTTTATCCACTGTGCCACAATACTGGCCCCGAAAAGTAAAATGTTTTTTTTAACAAAGAGTAAGATGCTCTAAATTGTAAAATGACTGGGACTATTTGTATCCATTTCTATTTGTGATATCAGTTTGGAAAAATTCAGTGCTGGGAGTCAGTATCATTCAAAAGAGATTGTTGAAATAAATAAGAAGTGAATGACAAGTTTGTTTGTTTTTTGTTTTTTGTTTTTTGGTTTTTTTTGACAGGCAGAGTGGACAGTGAGAGAGAGAGACAGAGAGAAAGGTCTTCCTTTTTTGCCGTTGGTTCACCCTCCAATGGCCACCGCAGCTGGAGCGCTGCGGCCGGCGCACCGCGCTGATCCGATGGCAGGAGCCAGGAGCCAGGTGCTTTTCCTGGTCTCCCATGGGGTGCAGGGCCCAAGCACCTGGGCCATCTTCCACTGCACTCCCGGGCCACAGCAGAGGGCTGGCCTGGAAGAGGGGCAACCGGGACAGAATCCGGCGCCCGGACCGGGACTAGAACCTGGTGTGCCAGCGCCACAAGGCGGAGGATTAGCCTAGTGAGCCGCGGCGCCAGCCCGAATGACAAGATTTTTAAAAATATACTTTAGAAAGGTGTTTGGAAGTAAAATTGAGGTGTCTTTGATTAAAAAATTATAACATCTAGACAATTAAAAAATTATAACATTGAGTCAATCTTAGGTAAAAACCAAATATTTTTTGTGAGTGTCCAGCATTTTGTTGCAACCATATGGTAATGCTGCAAGCAGCTGGCACCATTACAACACTGACAGTGTAGTTAGTGGGGCAGGAGCGGGAGGGAAGAAAGGGGTCCTGGGAAAAATGGAAGATGGGACGGGCAAATGAGAAGGGGAGGTAGGCAGGAAGGTCAAGAAAGAAAGGAGGGATTGACTTAATAGATTCAGCTGGTTCCCCCAATCAAATAAAAATAAATAAATAAAGGAAAATTAGAAAAAGAAAAACCAGAATTTGTAAAATGAGAAGGAGACAGCTACTAAAACACTGAACAAATGGCTACAGAAAGGGAACAGGAAGTCGAGCACGAAAGCTGTTCTATCTCATCCGGTGCGCACTCTGCACCTCCCTGGTGTGCACTGGCCTCTCGGTACTAGTAGACCTTGCACCCTCTCTGAAAGACAAAAGAATTGTAACGGTTCACGTACAGCTCTGTGCGTGTTATCAGTGCTTAGTCTCTCCCGGGCTGTCTCTAGACACCCAGGGATTTCTCACTGACAACCAGAGTAATCCAGGGCCTCAGGAGACATGGGCAGCCAGAGATTACCGGGAAGAATGTAAAGGACAGGACTATCCGGCCGCCAAGCTGTCCCTTTGCACCCATCTGTGGCCTTTCGGAACAGCAGCTCTGCAGCCTTGGTATCCTGTAGAGCAATCCTCCTCAAACGTCACCACGCCGTGGGGGACCTGATGTGCTGCGTTCTCACAGCTCTTGATGATGCCACTGCTGCCAGCCACAGACCACACCGGGAAAAGCAAGTTAGCGAGCACCAAGGTGAACCCACGAGGGAGCAGCAGGCGAGAGCCCAGAAGCCCGTTCTTTCCTGCAGGTCCGCGCAGAGAGAAGACAGGATGCAACAAGCACTCTCGATGCGTTGGCGACTGCTCTTTGTCCCACTTCCCAAGGACTGAGTCAGTGTAGCTTCCCTTCAGGACTTCCAGGCAGGTGGAATTTTCCTCTTACGCGTGACTCTGAATACCAAGCTACACCAGGTATAAGGAAGCCCGGTGAGTTCTCCTGTGCCCCATTAGGTGACACCAGCGTGGTCCTCTATAACACTTTCCTGCCTTATTCCCACATAACCCTTCTTCCAGGAGAAAAAAAAAATATTGTCAACCTGAGCATTGGAGCTATATCTGAAAGCTTGAGTAATCCGGCAGATACTTTGAGAAAGTTCCCCACCCCACCCCGCCAAAAAAAAAAAAAAAAAAACAACCTTTAAGGTCAGATTAGCGGCTTGGCTCTGATTTCTTTATCCACTCTAAAAATGTCCCAGATGTAGACGCTTCCGCCATGTTCCTTGTGTGTAAAACACGAAGGTGGGGTGAATGAGTGTATACTCCTTCTTCCCCAAATCAGAGCCTAATAGCTTCAGGGAGAAGCCAAGATTTGGCCTCATATGAAGAGTCTGAACCAATAGTCTAGCACCACATGGGGTGTCTTCTCTTTTTTTCCTTTAACAAAAACCGCTCATTGCACGATGCAGTGTGGGTGTTCTGAGGTAGCTACCCAAGTTTGCATACTTCCTGACTGACAGGCACTCCTGCCAGTGCCTCAGGGCCAGGGTGTGAGTGTTAGTGGGAGGAGTAACTAAGTTTCACTTCCTCGCTGGCTGCAGGCTCACAGCCACCACAGACTCCTCTCACTGAGGAGTGCGAGGAGCAGCCAGCCCAGCTCACCTCTTCCCACAGCACCTGGCCGGGACTTAGCGGACTGGAGGGCGCGGATGGGCAGAGCAGAACTTCTAGAAGGGAAGATGGGCACCCAGGATCCCTCTGATCTGTGGAGCAGACCAGACGAAGACGCTGAGCTGCTCCAGGACTTGGGGTGAGTAAGAGAACAGATCCTCTTTTCAAAGCACTTCTTGGGTGAACTCAAATGCTCATGTTGATGAATGACTGATTCTCCACAAACACCTTTCTCTCGGTCTCCCCGCTCTTCCCTCCTTGTCACTTGATTCATTTGTATCTGTTAACTTTCCCCCTCTGGGGAATGAATTCCAATGTAAAAGCATAGATTATCTTTCCAGAAAGCAGGTAGATCAGAAGATGGGACAAAAGCCAAATGTCGGACATTCTTTGAGAAGAGGGACAGAATTGGGATGGATGAGTGGAGGTTGCTTGGCTGTCCACTGGTTTAGGAATAAATGTGCTATTCAAGACTTTTGATCACTGTCCTAATGACAGTAACAGATGGTGGTGAGATAAACAGCCCACCCAACAGTGAGCGAGAGGGACTTTTTCAAAAGAAGAAATGAGGAAGTTTCTATAGCAATCTTGCTTGGGTTTCTTGCTCCCGACACTGCATATGTGAGCTCTCACATGCATGCAGCTGGAGCCTTTCAAATACCAACAATCCAGAAAGAAGATGAAATTTCTGCTTCCAATAGATGAGTTTCCGTGGGTGGAGTCTTCAGTTTAAGAAGGGACGCAGGTGACAAAGTTCATCGGGACATTTAGTGAAAGGAGCAAGCATTGCACTTGAGAGGCACAGGAGATTTCCTATGGATTTGAACCTTCACCTAAAGCACTGGGAATGCGCTCAGACAGGTTTTGACACCTGTGCCTTCTGTCTGCTTAAACTGCTCCAAGTCTTCACAGCAACCCCATGACAAAGCAACTGTTGACAGTTCCAACTTAAGAAGGACAAAACAAGCACCTAACAGGGTTGAACAACTTGCTCACAGGTCGCACATCCATTAAATGTCCAAGCTGGGATTCCAACTCTTTGTTCTTCATCAAAGAACAACGGAAAGAGATAAAATCAGTGTGTTCACACTGAAGGGCTTGTATCCTCTGATGTTGTATCACTGTGGAAGGTTTCGATAATTCCTGTCTATAGATTACAAAATTGAGGCCTCAGCATTGAACTCACCCTTCATATTGTACATCAGATACAACAGCTAGAAGTTTCAGTGAGGGAAGTTCCACTTATTGGGAAGTCAGACTCCAGGCTTTCTCTGTCCTTTCAGAGAGAGGAACAAGAGGCAAAAGACCCCCCCACAAGCACTCAGAAGAGGTGTCAAAGCGTGCAGGCGCTAAAGCTGACGCTGAGCTTTTATGGACTCGGTAAGCTATAATGCCTCTGTGTCTCCTTATCTGGAATGCCAGCCCGCTGTAGTCAGAAACCCTCAGGAAGGACAGAGACAAAGGGAACAGCAGTTCTGGTTCTTTAAGGAAATGGACAACCCTTGAACCTAGACTCTGTGGTTGAGTAGCACCGGCACACACTTAGATGACAAAGACATTTCTGTGCTGCCCCAGGTGCAGGGAAGCCTCTATAGGTAAACCTCACCGGGGAAACAGAGTTGTGTCTTCTCTCGCAGGAACAGACATTCCACATGAAACGCCGCGCTGCAGAACTGGGTCGGGATACAGCTATGTCCTGACATCTCAATTTCAGCAGGCCTGGAAATGTATTACGTGTGTGAGGATGAGTTCCATGGCAAAAGGCAGCCTACAGTTATTGGGGGAAAGTGCTCTGTAGTACCGACTCCCAACTTTGGCTATGCATTAGAACAGCCCAAGGAATTTTAAAATTCCTGTTGCTGAGGTTGTATACCAGATGAATAGTTTCAGGATCTCTGAAGGTCAGCATTTTCTTTTTTATAATATGATTTTTTTTTTATTTGGAAGTCAGAGTTAGAGAGAGGGAGCGATAGAGAGACCTTCCCTCCTCTGGTTCACTCCCCAGATGGCCACAACTGCCAGGGCTGGGCCAGGTCGAAGCCAGGAGCTTCATCCTGGTCTTCCACATGGGTGGTAAGGGCCCAACCACTTGGGCCACCCCTCAGCTGCTTTTCCCAGGCCATTAGCAAGGAGCTGTATCACAAGTGGAGCAGCTAGGACTTGAACCAGCACCTGTACAGGAATGCTGGTGTTGCGCCTTGTGGCTTTACCCACTAGGCCACGGTGCTGGACCCCTACCATTTTCTTTTTAAACACTCCAAGTAGGAGCTGTATATCCCCCCCTTACCCCCCTCCACCTCAAAAGCATTGAATAAAAGCTAAAAGAGGCTTTTTCATTTTCAGTCTGTTGGGTATACACTTGAATCAGAAGACCACTCATAAATGTTGCCATTGTGCTTGTTGGTTTTTGGATCATTTTGATTAATGACTTTATTGATATGTACTAATCAGTTCATTCCATTCCAAAAGTACCCCGAGAGCCTGGTGTATTTAAACACATTACTCCATGGTATGTTGGAAAAGCAGAGGAGCAGAGGTGGGGAGTGAAGGAACACTGATTTCTCAAATGTGCCTGTTTCCCTGGTATAAATGCTTGCATGCTGCCAAGGCTCTAACCATCAGCTTGCAAAGCTGAATATTCAATAATCAGTCTGAGGCAGTAGCCGCCCCACCAGCACGTCACTGAGATGCTCTGTATACCTGATACTTTGTGAGACCTTGACAATGACTTGAAGCCTCTGGCAGAATTCCACATATAAATGAAACTTGTTCTTTGGCTCTTTAATGCACTGGTGAGGTATGGTCTGTTTCAAGCCTTCTGATCGATTCCATTTTTTAAAAGCTTCATAAAAATCATGGCGATTTAATGCAATTGACGGACAAAAAGTGGCTGGTTTTAGTGACTTAATTCTTAAGTTATTTTTAATAGGTCATTGGAGGTAAATTCTTATTCCTGCATTTTTGGTAGCAATGAAGAGATAGTCTTTAGTGGTTATGTGGGAGCAATATCCTAAGTCTTTGTTCGTTGGTGCCTGTTTTTCTTAGGCTCTGCCAGCTGAACCCTGAGCCACAACAGAGCCCTCATTTGCTTTTCTAGGACAAATGTTATCCACTTGCTCAAGCACAGCTTTATGATTTCCTAAAGTCTCTAAATCAAGCAATTCAGATGCGTTCCCATGCCTCACTTACAGAGCGTCAATCTCAAGACGTTTATTTTCTTTCGTCCTAAATGCATCCATGTGTCCAAAAGCAAAGAGAAGTAAAACCATCTTAAACAGTGGCTCAATTTTATTTATACCCTGGCTGTGCAGGGTCAGATGGCAGAGGTAGGGAGCAGGGAACAAGGTGGCTGCTCTCCAAACCTACAGAGGGGGCTTCGCGGGGGGGGGGGGGCTGGAGGCGGCCTGGGGCAGGTGCTACGGGAGCTGCAGAGGAGCGCGCCCGGGCCCCCACAGGTGGTCACCTGGCTTCTCCGCGCCTGGGATCCTCCCTCTCAGATCCCACCCTGCCTGGCCTTGCCTTGCCTGTCCCCGCAGCGGGCGCAGGTGGGCGCTCCTCAACCCAGCAGGTTTGCCGGGTACTCTTTTATGGCAGGCTATGGCCCAGGCTTGGAGCAGCATGTGACAGGGGCCAGGGCAGCGACGTAATGCTGGAGCCTGCAGGACAAGAGCGTGGAGCCGGGAGAGAGCAGTCAGGAGAGCCGGCTAGGGTTTCCTGCTGGGCCTGGCACAGACAGGGGCAGGATTGAAGAAATCTGCGCTTCAAAGACAGATTCTCTGAGGAAAGGAAGCTGATGAGTGCCCGGTGAGCTTCATGGATGACCGCAGGTGCACAGCTAGCTTGGCCCCGCCAGGGAGCAGACACCAGGCGTCCGGGGAGGGGGCTGAGTGCCTGGGCTCTGAGACTTGGCTGGGCCGCTCTCCTAGTCCGGGATCCCACCGGGCAGAAATCGATGAGAAAGGCTGTCATCGTGTTATTTTCTAAGAATCCCTTGAGTTTTCACTACCGTGAAAAGCCCTCCTCGCTGTAGCTCAGGTGTTGGCGCCGTGCCTTAGCCTCAAACCAAGAAGCTGGCCAGGCCTTTCCAAGAAGCTAATACAACATATAAAGGACACACTAAGGCTGCCTCAAAAATTATCCGATTGCTGTAAAACACAGGTGCATATCTACAGACACATTCTTTTTATAAGAGCATACTACTTTTTTTTTCCTTTGGAAGGCACAGAGACAGAGAAACAAAGATATTTCACTTGCTGGTTCATTTCCCAAATGCCTGCAACAGCCAGGGCTGGATCGGGCCAAAACTAGGAGCCCAGGACTGCATCTGGGTCTCCTTGGGTGGATAGCAGAGACCCAAGTACTTGAGCCACCATCTGCTGCCTCCCAGGGTGTGCATTAGCAGGAAGCTGGGTTGGAAGTGGAGCCTGGACTTGAGCCAGGCCCTCTGATACAAGTCGTGGGCATGCTAAGTGTCATCCTAACCACTGTGCCAATGCTCCTGCCTCTGCCCAGTAATCTGCATGTGGAAACAAAGTTATAGTAGGTAAGTAGCCACAGACTCTTTAAATGAAGAGCAGATGATCATTATCCTCAGCTTTGCAGGCCTTACAATCTCTGTCACAGCTCCCCCCGCCCCCCGCCACTGCTGTACAAAACCCGCCAGAGAACACAGAAGCCAACGAGCGAGAAGATGTTCCAAGAAACTGTCATCCATGAACACTGCGACGTGAGCCTCATTTGATTTTCATGAATCACAACACAGTCATCTTCTTCCCGACCATTTCAAATGTGCAGAGGCTCCTGGCTCTCAGTCTATGCTACACTAAGCAGGTGGCTGGCAGGAACTGGCCCTCAGCTGGTAGTTTGCTGACCCAGCGAATAAATGGGAAGAAACACACAGGTCCCTGTTGCGAGGCACATGCCTTGCTTACCCCAGCTCTGACCTTCGAAAGACGAGAAAGAATTCCAACTTTGGCTCTGTGGATGAACACAGGGAGGAGCCAGGTGGCCACAAGTCCCAGAGTGTCTAGGCTTAGTTGTTTTCCCCGCTGTGATAGGCATTGTTTACCGACCACCTACTATGCACCAACATTATGCATTCACATGCATTATGTCCGTTTGCCATCACAGTATCACTCT